TTAAACTCATGCCGGGTGCGTGTGTGTGTGTGCCCAAGATCACGAGAGGAGAATGGAGGAGAAGGGATTGTGGCATGGCCATCCTCGCTGTGGGAGTGATTTCTTGCTTTCTGTCTGTCTCTGTCTCTCTGGTGAGCACACACGCCCTATAGCAAAAACCTCTCCAAAAAAAAAAAAGGAAAAAGGACATAGATAGGCAGGAGAGTGTGTGACCTGTGGCCCTGAGCAGGGGCCCAGGCTGGGACGGGGGTTGTGGGGGCGGCTCAAGCCCTATGTGAAGGCTTCTGAACCTTTCATGGTGCCTTGCCCGTTTCTTTATCTTTCTTTCTTTCTTTCTTTTTTTTTTTTTTTGAGAGATTTTTTTTTATTTCATACAGTGTGTGTGCTCACCAGAGAGACAGAAAACAAGAAACCACCCACCAGTGGCTATGGCCACACCCTTCTCCTTTCTTCTCCATTTTCCTCTTGGGATTTTGGGCATGTACACATGCCCGGCGTGAGTTTTAAGCTGCCAGATATGGGGCTTGAATAGCAGTCTACTACAGGGGAGTCCGATGACATAACCATTATGCCATCTCCTGGTCCCACCTTGCCCATTCTGAGTTTGAGGATACCCTCTGGGAGAGGGGTGCTGGCCAAGCAGCACCCACCCTGAGAGTCCTAAGCAGCCTTAGACCAGGGGCACGCCTCGAGGCTGAGCAGGTCTCACCAGGCCCTGGCCTTCTACCTCCATGGCCAGGCCACAGAAAATAGCAAGAATGTTTGCTAGCTCCAAAGGGAAATTTCACGGTGCCTACTGCATGCGAATGTGGGCCGGGACTCACGGGAACAGGAAGATCCCACCCAGACCTGACTCCGGCTCGGTGAATCCTGGTGGTCTAGGAGGTGCCGAATGTGGAACATTCTGTCAAAAATGAAGACGAAGATGCTGTTCTGTGGGCCCGGGCCTAAGCTCAGGCTGGCCACAGGCCCCATGTGGGTGGAGAACCCGTGGGAGTCTGAGGTTGCCTCCAGAGAGGAGGAGCTGGGCACGGGAGCCAGAGCAGACAGGGTTCAGGTGGGAGGAAGAGCCGTTTCTGCTCCATGAACTTCAGGAGTGGTGGCAGGTGCTGCTGTGGGGTCAGGAAGCCCCCAGCCCCCTGGGAGCCTCTCCCTGCAAGGGCAGGTCTCAGCCCTGCCCAGGGCATGGTGGCCAGATGGCACTGTGGAGTTCCGAGTGGCCTCCTCTGGCTGTGCCTCCTCCTCCCCTCCGCCTACTCGCCCAGGCCCCTGACGACTCCCGACTTCTTGCTTGTGGGCATGTCTCAGAGGAAGGAAGGATGGCCATGCTGAGCTCAGGGCCTCAGAGCACCCTGGGAAGTACTGGACCCTGTGGGTAGGGTCTCTGGGGCTGCCTGTAAGCTCCTGTCCTCCCCGCCACACCCGGGGCTCTGGACTCTCCAGCAGACAAGCCATGTGGCAAGTCCTTGGGATTTCTGACCACAAGGACTTTTTCTCTGGGCATAGGCCAAGGCCTGCCTGCTCCCTGACCAGTTAGCTCTCAGGAGGTGGGGAAGCAGGTGGGTTAGAGAGGCTTTTCTTCTGCCACACAGTTCTGCCAGGGGAGACCCACTGAGCCCGGCCTGCATGCGGGACCCTCCTGAGCTGCTCAGACGCACTCGCTCCCATGCCGCCCAGTTCAGCTGTGTGGTTCAGGCTGCTCCTGCTTGGCCGTGTGATGTGTGCTGTGGGGCGCTGGGCAGCAGGGGTCAGGGTCTTGTCCTGTCCTTGCAGGCTGATTGTGGGCCTGGCACCTGCAAAAGAACTAGCAGAGCCCTTCTTCAGGTGTCTGGCAGGTGCACGCCTATCAGAGAAAGTGACCCAGGGGTCTGCAGAGGGACCTCCAACCCAGATAAGCAGCTGCCTCGCCCTGGGATGTTAGCGGTTATCCTGCTGTCGCCGCCCATGGCAGTGGGAGGTCTCCCGCTGTGGGCCGTGCAGAACTCGCCACTCTCCTGACTGTGACCTCCTTGTGACCGAGGTCACTGTGGTCCAGCTGGCGGAACCCAGGGCTTAATCACAGAAATGCCAGCCCTGGCCTCAGCCTGTTCTTGCCCCTGCTCGGACCCAGCCAGCTCAGCAGGTGACCTCTGATCCCAGCTGGAGATCCCAAGTGAGGGGTGCCTAGTTGGTCACCCCTCAGAGAGGTCTGGGCAGGAGGCCCAGAGGCTGGCTGGCTGATTGTGTGAAGCCTGTTCTGGATGGACAGGACTCAGGGCTAACCCGCACCTCCCGTTTTTCAGGAGTCTGGGTAACTCAGAAGGACTCCCTGCCTGCTTGCTTCTTTGCATAGCAATAACCAACATCTGTCTGCCCTGTCTACACTGCCTGTTCACAAAGCAGTTTCATTTAATTTCCCACTACCCCAGGGGGGACAGTGTTACTGGCATTAACAGTCTCCTTTTGTTGATCAGAAAACCTCTGACTGAAGCACAGAGAGGTTAATGATGTGGTCAGGGCCACACAGCCAGTCAGTGGTAGAGCCCGACCTCAATATCGCATCCCTCATTGTCCTTCCTTCCTTCCTTCTTTCCATCCATCCATCCATCCATCCATCCATCCATTCAGCCATTGTAAGTATTTACTTAAAAGATAAAATAACAATGGTTTCCATTTTTTGAGTACTTACTGAGCTTTACCTGTAGTGTCCCTTTGATTTTCTCAATAACCCTATGAAGTAGCTGTTGTTATGGCCACATTCCCCATAAGGAAGCTGCAACTCCGAGAGGTGGGGACTTTCCCAGCTAGGGAGAGGGGAGCCATGACTTGTGGGTAGGCTGACCTGCCTCGAACGCTCATGCGCCTCATCCTTCTCGTCTGCTTCTCTGGAAGTGGCGTCTGCCGTGGCCTTCTCTGCACTGTACTGAGTGAACTGTATGGAGCTTAAGCAACTCATGCATTTGAATGTCTGTTCGTTCTTCTTTCCATCTGTCTATCCATCCACCCATCTGTCCAGATAGACTGTAAGCCAGTTACCTATTCATCTTTCCATCTGGTTGTCCATCTGTCCATCCACCCTCCTTCCTCCTCCTTTCTCGCTCCTCCTTCCTTCTTTCCCTTCATCCCTGCCTTCATCCATCCTCCCTCCAGTGGTACACTGGGGTCAGCGTACGCTAGCCTACGCGAGTGCAAGGACCTTTGTCATCTGTATTCAGTGACTTTGGTAGCTTGAAACTGGCCGTGATGGGAATGCTCACACGCAAAGTGCTCCAGAGCAGGGCTCTTTTTCCTGGTGAGCCAGTTGTCTCAGTAAACGTTCACCAGCCCGGCCCGGCCTCCGTCCAGTCACCTCTCACCCATCCTGTTCTCTCTCCATCTGCCCATCCATCTACTGCCCACTGAACTCACCCATTTGTTCACTCGTCCTCTCATCTGTTTGCCTGGCATCCATCTCTCCATCCCTCCATCCACGAGCCTGTCCACCTACCCATCCATCGGTCTGTTGTCCACTCATCTGTCCAACCAGCCCTCTGCCCATTCTGCCCTCTCCACCCCCATCCGCCTGCCATCCCGCCATCTCAGAGACTTACCAAGGATGTCCTATGTTACAGGCCCTCTGCTGCCCCCAGGGATGGGGAGAAGATGCAGTCCTCATCCTCACAGCATTGTTCACCCTCCCTGAGAGGGGGGCCTGGGCGTGTTTTCTTCCCACCACCCCTCCCAGCAGCCAGGATCCGCGGTGGCAGAGACCCGGCCTATAGCTGCCTGGCATGCTGGGGTTGGATGGTGCCAGAGCGGACTCCAGGCAGGACCTAGCCAGACCTGGGGATGCCAGCCCCCCCGCCCCGAGATGACCATCCGCCACCTTACCTGAGTCTCCTTTCTCCTCTGTTGTCTGTGTTTTGTCTCCTCCTTGTCCTGCCTGCTCCTCTCACCTGCTCTCCTTCTGCCTGGCCGCTTGGGGGCTCCAGCTTTCTCCAGACCTGACTAGGCTAAAGGAGAGATACGCCAGAACTAAGCGAGACATCTTGGCTTTAAGAGTTGGGGGGAAAGACATGCAGGAGCTGAAGCACAAGTACGATTGTAAGGTATTGTCTGTCTGTCCCTCCCTGTCCCGGATGGATGGGGCCGTTTGGAGCAGCTGCTACCTCCAGGGGCCTTTGCTGCTGCTCTGGGGCCCAGGAGGGTGGGCTGGAGCCTCTCTGCCTGCCCCGTGACCTGGAAGCTGGCCGCGTTTTATGTCTGCGTTGGGGCTGGTCCATGGCCTAACTCAGCGTGTCCCCTGCCATGCTCTTGCCTGTATCTTTGTCCCCTCCCTCAGTGAAACCCTAATGTTTCAAAAGAATTCCTAGGTAGCTTTTTAAGCTTTAGGGCTTCAGAATCTCCTGGAGTTCTTCAGAAAAAAATGCAGATTCTTGAGCTCAACTCCCAGGGTGCCAATCTGATAGACCTGAGGAAAGGCCCGGAATCAGCATATTGAGTAACCATGGTGGGTAGGCTTGGGTTACACATTAAAAGATGCAAATGTTGATGACCTCAGATGTCCTGAGCGCCCGCATCAGGACCCGGGCCCCCAGGAGGACAGAGACGCTGTACGATTTGCGAGGTCCCCAAGAGGCCCGTGACCCAGTGTGGGGCAGTTTAACTCCCCAGAACCCTGAGGCTCAGAGAGGAGCAGTCAGCAGGTGGGGACACTCAGAGATCAGGGGACCTTCCTGGTCCCCAGCCCTGCGCTGTGAGTGTGGGTGGGTGGGGCAGGCTGACTCAGGGGCACCTTGCTGACTTTTTGCCCAGGAAAGTGCCAAGAGAAGGGCCCCAGGTGATTCTCCCAGTGACCACTATGGGGGGCTCATAGGACGGCCCCACTGATGGCATTCTGCCAGGACAGGATCACAAAAGGAGGATTTGGTGAAACTGAGATCTGAACCCAGGCCCACAGGCATCCAAAGCCCAGAAAACAGACGAGGATGAGCACCTGTGTGTAGTTTCTGGGGTCGACATCCCTCCCCCGTTAGATACTCGGAGGCATTTAGGACCACTGCCCTGCAGAAGGCCAAGGATGGCTGCCCTAGAATTGCACCCACAGATGCAGGGAGGGGACTCACTTCCCTTTCCCTTCTGCCAGCAGTTTCCAGAAAGCCGCCTTGTTCCTGAAAAGCCACCCCCACCCCCACCTCATCAGTTCCAGCACCTGCGGCTTTTCAGCAAGCTTGCCTTGCCCGCACCCCTGACAAGTACTTGGTCCCCTATGTCACCCCCAGGGGTTGTTGGAGGTGATAGCGAGAATGGAGGACAGCAGAGGGACCCCCTCTAACACTCACCTCATCTGCAGCGGAGAGTTTCAGGAAGGAGCAGGCCTTCCTAGAATGGTGCTGTCCGTTACGACAGCCGTGTGGCTATTTTGGTCGAGTTTAATCACAATGAAATAGAACTGGGACTCCGGGCCTTAGGCACGTCCCGCATGCCCAGTGCTCCTTTGTCACGTGCAGCTGGTGCTGCTGTGTTGGAAGTGCCCACACGGCACCATGGCCAGTGCTGGCCGTGCGAGGGCTGCAGGAGGAGCCAGGGCTGGGTTGAAGGTGAGGGATGAGAAGGACAAAGAATGACTTGGGGGGCAGCAGCTGGCTTCTGAGGCCTCCCCGGTCATGCCGCCCACCCTGTGCCTCTTGGTCTGCTTAGCTTGCTGAGCCAGGGTCCATGGGTCCCCTCCTACCTAGGGAAGTTGTGTCTTTCCTCTGGCAACTTCAGCCTTTCCGCCTGTCTTAGCAGTGGCTCGTCAGCAACCTGGCTGTTCAGGGGCTCCTCCTTGGTTTTGGGGATGGGCAAGGGGGGTGCGTGCTCACCTCCTGTTAGTGGCCCCTAAAGCAGCACCCCCACTGCACAGCATGCTTGGCTGTTCCAAGTGCCTTCCCGCGCCTGGTCCGGTTAGTGCTCACAGGATGGGGAGGGGAGGGATTGCTGCGCCTTGGAGCTTCCTGAGGAGACAGAGGCTCAGGCTCTGAGACTGGGGTGGCAGAGCAAGGATTTGAACCTGAAGCCATAGATTCCAGCCCCGCCCCCCTCAGATTATGCCATCTCCTTAACTTGTCACCTGTTCGTATAGTTTGTCCTAAAGGGAGAAAAAACTGTTAAGACCTTCCCTTGCTCATGAACGGGGCTTCGGAAGGCAGAGCCCAGGTGATGCAGAGAGAGCCGCTGCTTCCCCATGGTCACTCTGGCCCAGGGAGGGGAGGGCTGGGGCTCCTGCGTCGCAGCCTGGCCAAGTCCAGGTGAGCTGGTGGCCCTGGTGGCCGAGGCTAGCCCCCCCGGCTTCTCTGATGTGCTCCTCTGCCTTTGTCCAGATGACCCAGTTCATGAAGGCCGCCAAGAGCGGGACCAAGGACGGCCTGGAGAAGACGAGGATTGCCGTCCTGCGCAAGGTCTCCTTCCTGCACAGGAAAGACGTCCTCGGTGAGGCGCTGCCTGGGCTGACTGGCGGGCCGGTGGTTCTGGTGCTCAGCCTCGTGCTGGAGGCTGGGGTGGGGTAGGTTTTGCCCCACACCCTGCAGTCATCGTCAATGGGGTGCCCTTGGGTGTCTGGCTGGCCCTGGCAGTGGGGGCCAGGGACTGAACCCCAGGGCCCCATTCGGTCTCGGCTTGTTTCCCCGGTATGACCCATCGATTCTGGGAGAGGTGGGGCTCCCTTCGTGTCCCTGCCCTGGCGTTTTGTCCCGGCCCTCTTGGCCTCCTGCCTCCCATGCTGTCTGGCTTACCTGGCCTCAGCCTTGAGTGTCCCTGTCCATTTCCTCCTTTATCCATCCACTCCTCTCTCTGACCAGGCAGTGCTTATCAGACACCTACCAAGTGCCACTCCCTGGGCTGTACGCAGGGACGCCAGGATGGATTTAATAGGAGTGGGGCTGGCTGGGCGCCATGGGGGTGGTAGTGAGTATGGAGTGGGTATGGAGACGGAGGAGGTGGGTGTTGGGGTGGGTGAAGGCCAGGGAAGCAGAAGGACCAGGTCACCAGGCAGAGAGGAACGGCGCTCTGGGCAGGAGGACGAGGTGGAGATTGCCATTCCAGAAGTGATGTCCCCGGGGCCGGCATGTGTCAGATATTTGTGTGCCAGGCTCTCTCCTAAGGACCTGGGAGTGCCTCGCCGAACCCTCACGAACACCGAACAAGGTGCAGGTCCCAGGTGGCTGATGAGGGCACGGGCTTGACTGGTTCAGGGACTTGCCCGAAGCACTTGGGATGGAAGGGCTGGAGGCCTCATCTGGCTGGAGTGAGCAGGAGCCTTGCTGGGCGTTTGCCCTGAGTAGGGACACTGGGGTTTTAGCGAGCACCTGCCCGGTGCTGGGAACGGCCCTGCAGTGCTGGCATGCAGCTGTGCACAGGGCAGGTCAGGATCCC